GTTCTTCCTTTTTGGTTTTCTGATTCTAGATCTTTGAACATTTTGTTGTAATGTTTGGCTTTGTCTTCTCGAACTGATCTTTGAAATTTTCTCTTCAGCTCTTGGACCTCCTCATTTCTTCCATTTGCTTTAGCATCTCTACTTGGGAGAACAAGTTTCAGTGTCTCTTCTGACATCCATTTTGACCTTTTCCTTCTTTCTTGTCTTCTTAATGATGTTTTGCTTTCTTCATGTAAGATGTTCTTGATGTCATCCCACAACTCTTCTGGTCTTCAGTCTCAGTGTTTAATGTATTAAATCTGTTCTTCAGATGGTCTCTAAATTCAGGTGGAATATATTCAAGGTCATATTTTGGCTCTCGTGGACTGGTTTTCATTTTCTTCAGCTTCAATCTGAATTTGCATATGAACAATTGATGGTCTAAGGAGCTCTGGTTGTATAGTGGTTACGAATCGGGCTGCAAACCTTAAGGTTAGTAGTTCAAAACTACCAGCCTCTCCGCAGGAGAAAGATGAGGCAGGCTTTCTACTCCCGTAAAGAGTTATAGCCTCAGAAACCCTGTACAGAGTTGCTGTGATCAGAACCGACTTGACGGCACTTAACAACAACAACAATTAATGGCCTATTCCACAGTCTGCCTCTGGCCTTGTTTTGACTGATGGTATGGAGCTCTTACATCGTCTCTTTCCGCAGACGTAGTTGATTTGACTTTTGTGTATTCCATCTGGTGAGGTCCATGTCTCTTTTGCTGTCTAAAGAAGGTATTTGAAATGAACAAATCATTGATTTTGCAGAATTCGATCATGCGTTCTCCAGCATCATTTCTATCACCAAGGCCATATTGTCCAACTCTGATCCTTCCTCTTTGCTCCCAACCTTTTCATTCCAATCACCAGTAAAGATCAATACATCTTGATTGCCTGTTTGATCAATTTCAGATTGAAGAAGTTGGCAGAATTCTTCTATTTCATCCTCACTGGCTTTAGTGGTTGGTGCGTAAATTTGAATAATAATGAGGGGTTACAATTCAACCCATTTTCTAACTGTGTGACCTTGGAAAAGTTACTTCCCGAATCTCTGAGCTTCAGTTTTCTCATCTATAAGACAAGGATGGATAATGGTACTCTACTCGTAGAATTCATGAGAAAATCCATGGCACATGATAACCTGGCATTTCCAAAGTGCTCCAGGGTGGTGGTACTAGTTATGTGCCGTGGAGTCGGTTCCAACTCATAGCGACCCTGTGTAGGGTTTCCAAGACTGTAAATCTTCAGGGGGGCAGAAAGCTTCATCTTTCGTCTGTGAAACCACTGGTAGTTTTGAACTGCTGACATTGAGACTAGCAGCCTGTCTCGTAACCTCTACGCTACCAGAGCTCCTTAAAATGCTTCATAAATAATAGTTATTAGTAGAGTCCCAACCACTGTCTATTAATGTACTCCTTAGTCAGGTACCCTCTCTTGGTTAGGTGCTGGGTGTATAGTAGTGACCGAGACTGATGTGTCTCTGCCCTCAGACAGCTGATGGTCCAGTGATAATGGCAGACACCGAACACAGCATCACACAGTAGTTATATTTGAGATGCGTGTCTCAGCTCAGGTGCCATGCTGGTGGACAAGGGTCCTGGCCTGGTTTAAGTGTTAAGGAGGACTTCCTGAGGAGGGGGGACCCTAAAGGAAGGGTAAGAGTTAGCTGGGTGAAGAGCAGGTGTGGAATTCCTGTCCAGGGAGGGAAACTGGAGCAGCGAGCAGAGGGTGAGGACTGGGGTGGGAGAAAGTAGAGAAATGAGGCTGGGGGCTAGAGCACATGAAGAGTTTGATGCTTATTTTCCAGCCTCGTGAGATGATCAGGGTACTTGTGCTGCTGTTGAGGAGGTCAAGGATCAAGGGCAGATACAGTAGCTGGAGGCTTCTCCCATGTCCAGGGTGAAGTGATGAAGCTTGGGCCAGGTGGTGCCAGTGGGACCAAGAGGAAGAGTTGAGTTTCAGAAAAATGCAGGAGTGAGGGTGGGCCTGATTGGATGGAGAGAGGGAAGGCTTCAGGCTTAGGCCAGATAAGGTGGATGGATGGTAGGTCTTTTCACTGGCAAGGGGCCCATGCTGGATGTGGATGTGGTTCTGAAGGAAAAGGATGCAGAGGGAGGCATGAGGAACAATACAGGCAGAAGGAGCCTGGGAAACATAAGCCCCGAGGTGAGAAAGCTCTGCTCTTGATCCCATATTGGTTCATGGCAGAGACAGGGGTGGAACCAGTATTCCTCTCTATTTTGATTCCCTGGAGGTTAGCTGTCCCATTTCCTCAGGAAGCCGGACATGCCCCTCAGCGTGTTTCCTTCTCCTTCCTGTCCCCCACTTCCCTGTCCAGGTCATTCCAGACTGGAAGGAGCAGGAGTGGGACCCGGAGAAGCCCGATGCCTACGCGGGCATCTTCCACTTCTACTTCTGGCGCTTCGGGGAGTGGGTGGATGTGGTTATCGATGACCGGCTGCCCACGGTCAACAACCAGCTCATCTACTGCCATTCCAACTCCTGCAACGAGTTCTGGTGTGCTCTGGTCGAGAAGGCTTATGCCAAGTAAGTACCAGCAGTGGGGGGACAGGTGGAGGGGCAGCACTGCTGATGGACTATGCGTGTGTGCCCTCTCAGTCAGACTCCCAGGCCCAGAAAGGTGATGAGGGGTTGGTGCAAAGACACACAGGGGACTCAAAGCCTGGGCATGGCCAGATGGCGCTTGCTGCATGGGACAGGATCTGAACTGAAGGTCCTCTGAGTAGATGTGTCAAGTGCCCACAATGAACTCATGAGGTGGGGGGTTTGTGTGACTCGCATTTATAGATGAGAATGAGGCTCTGGGAGCTGGATGTCCTGCAGGTAGCCAGGGCCTGAGCCAGCATTCACATGTAGATCGGAGCTGCTTTCCCAAGGATCCAAGCTGCCTTTGAGCCTATTCAGGGGAAGCTCTGAGTTTGGGTCTGGACTGTGGAAGGGGCCAAATGACTACCTTTCCTGCTCTCTGGGTGTCCCTTTGTCTACCTGTCACCTTCCTGTCTGATGTTCAGTCTGTCTTTGCTGACCTCTTTCTTGTTCTGTGCCAGGCTGTGTGTCTACAGTGCCCACCACAGGTAGAGCCTGGCATAGAATGGGCACAAGCAAAAGTTGGCTGAGTTGTGGCTGGGTAGGGGAAGACCTGGGGCAGGAGGGTTCATGGGGGTGAAGACCAGTTCAGGTACTTTCCTGGGAACCACACCCCATTTCTTCTCCCAGGCCCGTTTGTCCACCTTCTTGGAAAGTGTGTGTGTGTGTTTGTGTGTGTGTGTGAGAGAGAGAGAGAAAAACAAAAAACAAACTCCCGACGTCAAAACCAGACCCAGGAAACAACTTTGGCTGGTTTAATCCTAGGCAAGTAACACTGTCCCCTAGTGGTCATTGAGTCCTTGTCATCCAGGTGCAGCCCCTCTTCTGTCTGCAAGAGAGCTGACTTGAGTGGACTTGTGTGCTTTTCTTCATTGATTTACTTACTTTTTAAATTAAAAAATGAATATTGTCTGTTATAGCAAATTCAGAAAATATAGAAAAATGTGCAGAAGGTGATCAATATCTTCCATACGTCTGCATTTTACCAGTTCTTTTATTCCCTCCTTCCCTGTGTTGGGTCATCTGAGTTCATCGAGGTCTTCAGTTAATGACCAGCATAGCCATTGTCCACCCAAGGCCCCAGTCCTCCTCTTTGTCTCAGTTTCCTTCTTTTGCACTCCTTCCTCATAGCTTCCTTCCCCCTACCCAACTGCCACCTCTGTTAGCATCGCTGATACATCTTTTTGTCTGTAGGTGACTTTGCAAACCCTTTGTTTCTGTTTTGTCTGCACACATTTTGAATTTCCATCAATGGGTTGGGTTCTGTAGCCCATTCTGCTTCTCACCTTTATATTCAGCATCATGCTGCCTTGATCACCACAATCCATTCCCTACTTGTTTAAATAAAGCACCTAATATGTTGTGCATGTTGGTGTTGGGTGTTATTGAGCTGATTCTGACTTATAGTGACCCTACCTTACAGAGCACAACTACCCCATAGGGTTTCCTAGGTGGTAAATCTTACAGGGCAGAGTCCTGGTGTGGCGCTGTGGGATAAAGCACTGGACTGACCGCAAGGTCAGTTTGAACCACATGAGTCGGAACCTTAACAACAACAACAAATCTTCACAGGGACAGATCACCAGGTCTTTCTCCTGCAGTCACTGAGTGGATTTGATCTGTCAACCTTAAGGTTAGCAGTCAAGTGCTTAACCATTGTATCACCAAGACGTCTTATGGTGTACATACAAACCAAAAGAAAAACCCAAACCCACTGCCACTGAGACAAGTCCGACTCATAGAAACTGTATACAGAGTTTCTGAGGCTGTAAATCTTCATGGGAACAGAAAGCCTCGTCTTCCTTCCTTGGAGTAGCTGGTGGGTTTGAACTGTCAGCTTTGTGGTTAGCAGTCCACTGCTTATCCTACAGCACCACCAGGGTTCCTCATGGTATGCATAATAGATGCTTAATACATATTTTCAAAAGTGAATTGTTCATGTAGTTGGAATCTCACTGCATTGCCTTTGTAAATATGCCAGCCAGGCACAAGCATCTGCCTTGTCATAGCACTGCAGTTACAATGGCTATATAATATTCCACAGAAAATTGTTTTTTTGACTTTTTATTGTGAATTGAGTAAAGGTTTATAGAGCAGATCATCAGTTTTATGTTCAACAAATGGCATCCTTCTATTCATCTCACTGATTGCAATCCCCTCAGTGTAACCTCACTTAACCCACTTCCTCCCTGTTTCCTGTTTCCATTCCTCCTGAATTTTGTCCTTGGGTAAATGCTGCCCTTTTGATCTCGAATGGTTGCCCATTCTCTGGTGTACATACTTCACAATGTTGTTGTCCCCCCTGTGTACCCATCTATTGTTGTTGTCCCCCCTATGTACCCATCTATTGCTTAGCTGAAAATTGAGCCACGGGGGTAAGTTCAGTTCCCGACCTGAAGGGGGACCAAGTTCGTAGTCACGGGGTCCCACCAGTCTCTATGTGACACACAGCATTTAAAAAATAGCAATTTCCTGTTAAATATCTAGGTGATTTCCAGTGTTACATTGTTAGAAATGATGCTATTTATTAAGAACTGATAGGTCATATGATAGATGAGTTTTTAATAGTTTTGGAAAACAGCTACTAGATAGTTGATTGACGGGTTTTCAAAGTTGGGGCCACGAAGGCTGAGGGAATTTCAGTGATAAAATGGTGTGGATCCAACTGTAAAAGTAGTTTTGTAACATAAATGGGGAAGCAGTTAATCTTATATTCCAGAAACAGAAAACCGTAGGATCTTCAAGGGAGGAGAGCATGAGCATAATGTGGGACCCTGTCCGGAGAAACAGAGATACCAGAGATGGAGGCAGAGATGAGGACATGGAGAGAAGGGAGCAGCTGAGGACTCTAAACTCATGAGATAAGAAAGGCTGTGTGCTGGCAGCTAGTAGACAGGCTTGCAGAATGTGTCCTTTGGTTATTTAAATGATTATATGTTCCTGAGCATTTTTGTGGACATCCAAAAACAATAACAACAGCAACAACAACAACAAAAACCCAGAGGGAACAGAAACAAATGCTGTTGAGTGATGAGCATGGAAGGGATTGTAATCATTACAATGAAATGATGAGTGTAAAACTGACGTTCCCCCATGTAAATTATCACTGAATTCACAATAAAATCTTAACAACAACAAAAAAAAGATGAAATCTGAGAAAACAAGTTTCCAAAAGGAAAAACATTTATCTATGAAGAATTGTATCAGCTACACACACACACACACACACACACACACACACACACACAAATGGTGTGTATCATTTGGGCAGATGTTGGTCTGGGAGTCAGAGACCTGGGTTCTAGCATTAGCTCTGCTTTGGCCTACTGTGTGACCTTGAGCTGTTTGCTTGACCTCTCTGAGTCAAGAGTCTCCCCTCCCAGGTGAAGGTTTTAGACTGTCTGGGAAGCATAAGCCAGGAATTCTTTCCACGTTGCTCCCCAGGTTGGCGGGCTGTTACCAGGCTCTAGACGGAGGCAACACAGCAGACGCACTGGTAGACTTCACAGGTGGTGTTTCTGAGCCCATCGACTTGACTGAGGGTGACTTGGTCGATGATGAGGCCAAGAGGAACCAGCTCTTCGAGCGCGTGTTGAAGGTGCACAGCCGGGGAGGCCTCATCAGTGCCTCCATCAAGGTGAACGCCCTGAGCCCTCCCTCCCCTTCACCAACCTTGAGTGGGGTAGGGATGTCTGTGTGGCCCAGGCTGAGCCCAGGCTCAGGTTGGCTCAGAAATCTAGACACTTGGCCCTTGCCCTGACCCACCCCCCTTTTGCTGTGAAATGTCTTCCCAATCCTCTCATATTTTGGATTTGGGCCTCTCTTCCTTTGAGAGCCCATCAATCAAGGTTTTGTGTATTGGAAGCCAAGGGGCAACCTGGAGAGGGTAGGGAGCCCCTCCTACAGACTGGATAGGGCTGAGTGCTTCACGAGAGCCATTGTGTCATTAATTGTCATGTGTGGGGTTAGACAGCTGGGGCACAGGGAAGGCAGTATTTGAACCCAGGTCCGGCAGACCCAGGGTATGCTGATAAACCAACTGTCTAGGAATTAAAAAAACAACAACAAAAACGATTTGTAGCATTCTCTGATTTCTGTGGTATAAGTGTTCCACCATGGCTGGTTTCAAGCTACTAATCACCTCGAAAAATGTATGACTATTTACCAATTGGTAGAGCCAGTGCAACCTGGCTCCAGCTGACCTTGCGCACCCCCCTCCACTGCTGGTACCCTCCTTTACCAGAGACTGCTGTCCAGACGAGGACTGTACAAGGCTGAGGACAGTGAGCACAGTCTCTAGCCCCAGGAACAAGATCTCACCTTTGTGTGCTGTGTGGTTCCCTTCCTGTCCTGTAGAGGGCAGTGTTGCCTGAGTCTGACCCAGCTTTGGGTTCCAGTCTAACCCTACCTGCTACTCACGAATACTTGTGTCCTTCCTCAGGCAGTGACAGAGGCTGACCTGGAGGCCCGCCTGGCCTGTGGCCTGGTGAAGGGCCATGCATATGCCGTCACTGATGTGCGGAAGGTGCGCCTGGGCCGTGGCCTGCTGTCTTTCTTCAAGTCAGAGAAGCTAGACATGATCCGCCTTCGAAACCCTTGGGGCGAGCGGGAGTGGAACGGGCCCTGGAGTGACACGTAAGGCCTGGGGCAAAGTATAGGCCAGTGGTCCCTGGGATGGGCCCAGTACAAGGATTTGTGTAGGATGGGTAGATTTCCTGGAGGAGATAGCACCAAGGCTGGGTCTTGGAAGGATTTGGGGAGAGGATGACATTAATAAGAGAAAAGGGAGGCATGGGCAGAGGCTTGGAGGTGGGGGTAAACCCAATTCTTGTAGGGACTTAGAGATACCCACCAGAGTGTGAATGGGGAGAGGTGAGAAGGGGGTCCCCAGAGGGGTTCAGGGATGGGAGGGATGCTCTGTGCTTGGTTCATGGCCTGGGAAAAGCCAGCAGGGAGAGACCCCAGGTCTTATCCATTGGGGATCACATCCTCCTGGTGGCTACCCATGGTTACTTGGGGGTGTGGGCAGATGGGGCTTCTCTGAACCACGCCCACACCGATGGAGGCCTGGGCTGAGCTGTCCCTAGTACCTCCTCATCCTTGCCAGGGCCTTCTTGATAGGACCCCTCCTCTTATCCCTCTCCTTCCCCTGGCTCTTGCATCCCAGCTCAGAGGAGTGGCAGAAAGTGAGCAAGAGTGAGCGAGAGAAGATGGGGGTAACCGTGCAGGATGATGGCGAGTTCTGGTGAGTGGTTGGATTCCCAATGTCTCAGGCTGAGGAAGGGAGCACTGGATGGGGACTTGGGAGCCAGAACTCTACAAATGTCCCATCACCAATTTACTGTGTGGCCTTGGACAAATCAGGCCATGTCTCTGAGCCTCAGTTTCCTCCTTTGTAAAATGAGTTGGGCAGTCATGAGCCCTTTCATCCCCAGAGTCATCTCTGTCTCTGCCTTGGTCCTAAGCTGCATCCTTGATAAATAGGCCAGGATGGTTAGGGGATTAACCAAAAGGCAGGGGGCACAGTAGGCAGCACAATGAAGTGGGGGTAGGAAAGAGGAGGAGGCCTCTTGGAGTGAGATTACTTTGTGTGAGTCAAGAGATATGATACAAAGCAGTCCCTGGGTGGGCAAGGAATGGAACCCAGGCCAGAGGTGAGAGAGCACATTTGGATTTGGGAGGAGAACCTTATGGAGTGCTGGGGTGGGGAATGGGCTCACAGGTTAACAACAGTTTAGCTTGAAGGATCTAATAATGATCGGCATTCATTACTGCATTCCCTCATCCTTCTAGTCATTCTTCCTGTACTGAGTCCATGCAACTTGCATTGAGGTGCAGTGTTGACCTTCTGCAGGGTCAGTTGTTCTATTCAGGGACTTCTGTAGACCACGAGCACCCTGCATGTAGTGAATGCCATGGGGGTTTATGACCTAGGGCAGACCCACAGGCTAATAATAGCAGTGATACTGGCACTCTGATGAGCCACTCCCACTTCCTGTGAGAGCCATCAGGGGAGCAGATACAGGTTGTCACCCAGGGCCTCTGGCTCTGGACTCCTGTGAACAACATCACTTTGCCCAGTTGATTCAAGGATCAATTGAATTAAAGCAGTCATAGAAAGACCTTATTACAATGAATAAAATAAAAAGAAAGGAAGCCCTTAGTCTGAGGCCGTTCTCATTATTTCTACACTTGAAGGACTCCCCCTTCCCCTGCTCCTGGAAGTGTGCACCGTGTACAGTGACCACAGAAACAGCCTGGCCTGCTGCATTATGTCTACCAAGGGACCCCCATCCACCAGCATCTTCCAGCTCACAACAGCTGTGCGAGACGGTGAATGGAAACACACTTAATAACCTTAGTTATTAATACCATTCATAATTCAAGCAGGCAGTCTTTGCCAGGCACCTTCTGTCGGCCAGAAGTTGTACTAGTGCGTCTACAAGTTTTTAATTCCAACACTAACTCTGAGGGAGGCATCTGCTGGGAGATGCAGCGTCATTTTCACAGAGGAGAAAACTGAGGCCAGAAGAGAGGTTGAAGATTTGAGAGGCACCATGCCCATGCTCTGTCTTCTGTGTAAGTCCTGGTTCAGAGCATGCAGATTGAGTGATGGGTGGGTTTGAGGAACCTGCTTTGCTCACCTCCTTCCCACGGCCAGGATGACCTTTGAGGACATGTGCCGATACTTCACTGATATCATCAAGTGCCGTCTGATCAACACATCCTACCTGAGCATCCACAAGACGTGGGAGGAGACCCAGCTGCATGGCGCCTGGACACAGCATGAGGACCCACGGCTGAACCGCAGTGGGGGCTGTATCAACCATAAAGATACCTTCTTCCAGAACCCACAGGTGGGTCTTCTGGGGGATCCCTGCCCCTGTGCCCTCAAACACCCCTCTAGCCCTCGCTGCTATTCTGCCATGGTCTCCTGCGTGACGTAGGCACCTTCTTGTCCCTCTTCGGGCCATCTTGCATTGGAGGTTGGATGGCCATATTGATCCCATCTGTGTGGTCACCATCTGACCTGCTGAAAGGGATTAATGAGGCTTGCAGGGATTAATGGTTGTCTTGTCCAGAATTGCATGGCTGGGGATTTAAATCCCTTTTTTCCACACTACTGCTCCTTCCTGGGGCACTTGTCCAGGCTGGCCTCCCCCACAGGGACCTCTGCCCTAAAGTGTCCGCAGTCATGACCTATGCCATCTGCTAAGTGCTCAGCCCAAGTGGGGACAGCTGGTTGGTGTGTCTTTGTTGAGCACCAAGCAGAGCTCGCATGCTCTCAGGAAACCCTCACAGCTCTCATGCAGCATCGGGATAGTTAGGCCTGTCGAAGGGACTGGGGCTCCGAGTCATGTGACTGGTCTGAGGTTTGGCTCTGGAGTGTGAGCTTCTGGAAGCCATTATGGCCTCACTGAGGTGTCTCCCTTTCCTGTGCTGTACTGTAGTATATCTTCGATGTGAAGAAAGCAGAGGATGAAGTGCTCATTTGTATCCAGCAGCGGCCCAAGCGGTCTACCCGCCAGGAAGGCAAGGGTGAGAACCTGGCCATTGGCTTTGACATCTACAAGGTGAGGCTAACTGGGTCCCCTACTCTGGGTGAGGAAAGCCAGGGAGCTGGAGTTGGGGCTGCCCAGGCCTGGTGGGGTATCCTAGAGCCTCCTAGTCATGGACATTGCCCAGCACTCCTTGCCCCATTAGCTGAAACCGTGGGGACGCTGTGACATGGGTCCACAGAGGAACTGGAGACTGTCTTCTTTGGGAGTGGTCAGCTTGATTTCTTTTCTGCCCTAAGCCTGCAGGCTGAGCTGCTTGATGTATGAGGAAAGGGTGGATTGCTGGTGGCAAGGGTGGTCCCTGGGAGGTCCTAAATGTCACAGAGCATCCCTGGCTTCCCTCTCCTCCAGGTTTCCCAGCCTCTTTGAGCTCCCAAAGCCTCAGGAAGTCCCACTGGGTATGAGGCTAGAATGTCTCTTGGTATCACTGCCCCTGGTCTGGGATCTGAGCCTTCCACATGCTGTGACAGCCAGTATGTGGTGAAAGTGTGACCTAGCAGCGCACCACAGACCTGTGCAACACCAGGCACGGGCTGAAATCACAGCGAGGTGCCCAGTGCTCCTCCATTGTTGAGTTCCTCGTGTTGCATGTTCCCCATCATGTTCTGATGTGTTGTGATACTTTATTGTGACTTTGACATTTTAGGACCTTCAGTACTGCAATTATAGCATATTAGGGATTATCTCGCATGTCCAGACAGTGGGTCCACACTGTGACTGGGGCATATCCTGACACTTGGTTCTGTGTGAGTCGGGAACTCCATAGACGTGACCACCAGAGGGTTTCCAGCTCTTCTGTTTTTAAAAAATAGCTTCATTGAGATATTCACATACCACATGATTCACCCATTCTAACTCAGTGGGTTTTAATGTATACACAGACTTGTGCAACCATCATCGCAATGAATTTTAGGACAGTTTTATCACTTCCAAAAGAAACCCTGTTTCCCTTGGTCATCACCATCCAATCTCCTTATTCTCCCCCCAAACCTTAGGCATCCACTGGTCTACTATTAACCTTTATAGATTTGCCTATATCCTGAATGTGCCACACAGATGGACCTTGGCTTGGTGGTCAGAGAGGGAAGTGGGATGGGCTGGGGCAGAGCTGGGCGGGGCTCCATGTAGCCCATCCCCCTCCTCTCCTCCCTCAGGTGGAAGAGAACCGCCAGTACCGGATGCACAGCCTACAGGATAAGGTTGCTAGCTCCATCTACATCAACTCTCGAAGTGTCTTCCTGCGTACTGACCAGCCAGAGGGCCACTATGTCATCATCCCCACCACCTTCCATCCTGGCCACTCAGGCGAATTCCTGCTCCGCGTCTTCACTGATGTGCCCTCCAACTGCCGGTGGGGACTGGTTCAGGGCCAGGGTTGGAAGGGACACAACCCACACTGAGTTGACCTGGAATCTGCAGCCCAGGGATGCTCATTGTCTGCCTGAGGCCTGGAGCCCAGACCTCCAGCCTCCCTGAGCTGACACCCTTGCCACCTCATTCCTCAGCCTTCCCTGGCTCCCTCTCCTCACTTGACTTGCCCAGAATGCAGAGCAGCCTCTTGTGTGCATAGTACTTCAGCAAGAAGCTTTCACCTTGTTTCATCCCATCTTCCCTACTCCTGCGAGTGGAAGGCCTGGCCACTCCAGCTTATGGATGGACATTCAGGGCCAAGATTAAGGGAACTGTCCAAGGGCATGCAGATGGTGGTCAAGTCACACTGTGCCACCCAGCCTGACTCTATGGTCTTGTCCCCATACTCCCCTGTCCCAAGGCTGTGAGATCCAGTGATCTGCTCAAACCATGCCCATCCCTGCAGGGTTGCAGACTCTGTGGGACTTGCACTGCCCTCCCGACCTTGAGATGTGGCCCAGATGCCCTGTCCCCTGTAGAACAGGTGGGCCCTGCTTGCATCCAGAGCTGGGAGGCAATTTGTGGTATGGTGAATCTGACGGACCTGTCTGGGCAAATCCCTTTGCCTGAGTGAGCCTGATCCTTCCTAATCTGTAGAATGGGCATATTCATACATAGGTCTCTGCCATGGCTTCCATGAGGATTACAATGTATACTTGTTAACCCCTCACCCCCACCCCCCAGAAGGCTCGGTCTGCAATGTATTGTCAGTAAATTGCTTTTCCCATGGGGGGAGAATGGGGCAGGACTTGAGTGAGAATAGAGCTGCGGGAGGCCTGAGGGGTCAGTTGGTCAGAGACTGCCTGTGGGGATTTGCACAGGATGTGAGACATCTAGACTGAATACTGCTCCTCTCCCCACCCCACTTCTGAACCCCCTCTTCACCTCTCTTCCTGACTGCCCCCATCATCTTGTCCCTGCCTCTTCCAGGGAGCTGCGCCTGGATGCACCCCCACACTCCTGCTGGAGCTCCTTGTGTGGCTACCCCCAGCTGGTGACCCAGGTGCACGTCCAGCAGGCTGGTGGCCTCAAGGACTCCCCGACAGGTGAGCCCATCTTGGCCTAGGCCTTCCTGCCCAGGGAAGTTGTCCCCCGGCCCTCTCCTCCAGCTGCAGAAACCTAGCCCTCCATTGTTCTGCTCTTCCTCATTGTCATTGATTCTACAAAGCTTTCCTGATGTCCACCTGGGGCCATCACTGCTGGCTGCTCTCAGGAAGCTCCAGTCTGCTGGGGGAGTCAGATACAGGAGGGGGGCTCAGGGAAGGCTTCCTGGAGGCGTTGGCCTTTTTTCAGGTGGAGAAGGTATTAACCAGTGAGATAAGGAAGGGAAAGTTGCATAGACAGAGGCCAGTGTACCCATCCTTCCAGTCTCCCTCATTCTGGAAGTTAGAAGTCACTGAGATGTAGAAAGCGCTGGTCACCCTAAACCCAGGGAAACATCACACCTCCAAAACATCCATCCCATCTGGGCCCTGCTCATCCCATCTCTGCCTCTCTCTCTCCAGGGGCTAATTCGTATGTGATCATCAAGTGTGAGGGGGACAAAGTCCGCTCAGCTGTGCAAAAAGGCACCTCAACACCCAAGTATGATGTGAAAGGCATCTTCTACCGCAAGAAGCCGGGCCAGCCCATCACTGTCCAGGTGAGGCGTCCCTACGCAGAAGGGCAGGGCCCAGATGGAAAAGCCTTTGATGGCGTGGGGGACCCAGGAACACCAGGTGGTGGTTCTCACTCTGCCCCTGACTCATGGTGTAGCTTCAGGAATCCTCTTGCCTGTCCTGCCTGGGGCCCTGGTGCCCTCATCTATAGGGTGGCTGAGTGGTGTGACTGAGTTCTGCAGGGTCAGTATCCTGAGGACATCAGGCATCTCTGCTGGCCTTGCCCCAAAGCCGTGGTAGTTGTCTCTCAAATTCCCCTGTAGCTGGGCCCGTTTAGATAAGTTGCACCTGACTGTGTGGTGGGGTTGTTTCCTGAGAGCCTTAAGCAGGGAAATCAGAAGGCCAGGGTCCTTCCCATCTCAGCTTCAGACAATGATCCTGAACTCATTAGTGGGAGGCCCGCTATCCCGTGGGGCCAGGCCAACAGCTCTCTGCGTGAGCAACCACCTGTAAACAAACACTCAGGTATCCCAAGGAACCACCGTAGAGTTTCCAAATTCTCTTAACTCTGAGTCCCACTGGATCATACCACAGACCCGTAGATGTCTGGGCCGGAAGGATTCTTAGAGCATGATTGAGCTAGTCCTCATTAAAAAATGGGGGCACTAGGGCAAGGGGCATATTGCAGGCTCAGGGTCACCCAAGGTCATAGCAGAGCTGATAAATAACAGATTCGTTCATTTTAAATGTGGAAAGGAGCTTTGACAGATGAGGAGACTGAGGCCAAGGGTCAGAAGCCAGCCAGGGCTCCTTTTCCTCAGTTGAGCTTTCTCCGTGGGAGCTAGATTCAAAGCCTCAGACGGCAGCCTCCCAGACTTGATGGTGGTCCTTTTCACAGTACTCTGCTTCCTCCCAGATCTGGAACCATCGAGTCCTGAAAGATGAGTTTCTGGGTCAGGTACACCTGAAGGCTGACCCGGATGACCTCCAGGCTCAGCACACTCTCCACCTCCGAGATCGTAACAGCCGGCAGCCCAGCGACCTGCCTGGCACCATTACGGTGCAAGTCCTCAGCAGTGGGTCCCTCCTGGCCATCTGAGACCCACCCCATGTGTTCTCACCACCATCTGCATGTCCCCACCAGGCCAGTGACTTAACCTGGGAGTCCAGACCCTGAGGTTCTCTCCCCAGCTCCTCCCCTGATTTTCTGGTGTCTGTGCCTCAGTATTCTGGGGACTCCAGAGCCATTTCTTCTCATGGAATGACCCTCACCACCCTTCTGCCCCCTCTGCCAAGGGAGTCTCTTAACTGAAAACATTTTCTCAAGCCCTGCTATCTGCCAATGGAGTGCCAATATGTCACTTGTTTACACACAAACTGCCATATCCCCGAGCCCCACTCCGGCCCCTCATGCCCTGGGCCCACCCCAGTGTCCCACCTACACCTGGTTTTCTAGCCTCCTAGAAAGGACTCGTGGCAACTGCTGGGCTCCTGCAGCTCAGGCTAGAATTCGGCAAATGTGCAGGTGACGGTTGATCATCCACTCAGCCATCCATGGATTCATTCAGCAGAGATTTGCCAAGTGAATCCATGATGCCCTTGAGGCCTCCTGTGGGAGCTGAGCCTGTCTTGCATCTCTGGGGGACACATGGTGGCCACTATGGCCACGTGTCTGCTCTCCTATCCTCTCCCAAGGTGGATGCCCAGAGGCAATGCAGCCAGGCTCTGATTTCAGTGCCAGCCTCTGGGTGAAGGTCCCTAAGAGGGGACAACAGTGGTGTGCAGAAGGGCAGCTTTAATGCCAGAGGGAGTGTGGAGTGTGTACAGCAAATGGGCAAAGGGCCAGGCAGGTGGAGAGGCACTGGGACCCAAGAGGGGCATACTGCCATAGTCCCCTATATTGTGAGCGCCATCTGACCAGAGGCCCCTTTGCCAATATTTCCCCCAGACACAGCCTCAGAGGCCACAACCCCCTTCTGACTTGCGAAACCAAAATGTCCCTTTCAGTCCTCAGCATTTTATATCATTTCAATTTTAAAAATCTGTTGTAGTCAGGGGGTTTTCAAGGAAAGCTGAAAGCCGGACCGTTTTTTCTGTCCCTGAACTTCTGGCTCCTGGTCTGTGGTTGTATTTGATGGCACCTGGAGAGAGCCACGGGAGAAGTCCCACCTTCTCAGAGATGGCCTGGAGGTGGGTGAAGAGGCATTTCATACTGGGGCTTCAGCAAGCTGTCACTAACTATTCCTGGAGTTGTGTTGGATGGAGCTGTGAGCAGCTTCAGTTCTCTCCTGTGCTGTCTTGGATTTACAAGCCAAGTAAAGTTGACTCCTGAACACAAAAATTCCTTCCTGGTCTTGCCCAGGAATTCCTTTTGGAAATCTTGAGTTTTCGCCCCCAGATCTTGTTTGGGACCAGTGTTCTGACTGGAGGTGCTGGTGTCTCTGACTCTGGCTCCTCACTCCATGTTCAGCTCTGCTGCTCTTCCTCACCCTGGACCACGTGAGGGTACAGAGACTGGAAGCCAAGAAGAGGATTCCTTCTTGAAACCTGGGAGTCGGCACTCTGAGCATGACCAGGAACAAGTCATTTAAACCTCCTGTGCCTCGATTTTCCCCTCCTGCAAAGTGGGGCCAATGATTCTTGCTTGTCAAGCACTCTTACTTAACGAGTACTGAATAAGGGCAAAACAATACTCCTGTCTCTCTCTATCTCTCTGTGTGTGCATTATATACCCATTCATGTAACCAACCCTGTTCAATGTCTGTTTTACATTGAGAATCCTGAAAGAGAGTGTGGGAGTGGAGGGGTAAACCAGGGGTCTCTGGGGCTGGCACATTGGCTCTTTGCCTTGCCACATGCACTAGGACCAACTGGCAGAGCTGTGTTGGCTTCATGCTGATGGCTGGTCACTGCCCGCAACTCACTCCTCAGTTCTGCAGCCTTGCCCTTGCTTTCTGCCCCTCTGGGTGGACCAGGCTGGCTCCTGGCTGCTGCAGAGGCCTAGGCTGGAACTGGAGGGAGATTGGAGAGATCCACTGCTATTCACCTGACACATCCTTCAGCCCAGGGACCAACAACCCCCACACCAACTTGTTCTACTCAGAATAAATGTTACTACAATTTCAGAAAGACATTTTCGTGTCTGTCCGTTCCTTTGGGGTGGGGGTGGGGTTAATAGAGGGACTGTTTCCCAGGGAGAACTTCAGAGTCACAACTGAGATAATTGAGCTCATTCAGTCATTCATTCAGCAACTCTGTAGAGGGATAGCTTCATTCCAGGCCCTGGGGATACCAGGATCCAAACATTGTCCCCACTACAACTACAAGAGTTCTGATGCCATCAGCATACCATGTGGGCATTACTGGGGTGTACTGTGGACCCCCAAAAGAACAAACAAATCTGTGTTGGAAGAATTATAGCCAGAATGTTCCTTAGGAACCAGGAAGGCCTGACTTTGTCTCTCCTACTTCGGACATATTATCAGGAGGGACCAGTCCCTGGAGAAGGACATTTTGCTTGGTTAAAGTGGAGTGTCAGTGAAAAAGAGGAAGACCCTTGATGAGGTGGGTCGGCACAATGTCAGCAGCAATGGGCTCAAGCTCGGCAGCGATTGTGAGGTTGGTACAGGACTGTTGTGTGTAAGGTCACTATGAGTTGGCACCGACTCGATGGCACTGAACAACAACAGCTAACTTGGGAGTCTAGGGGAGGCCCACACCCTGATCAGATGCAAAGGACACAGTATGTGGAGAGCGATGGGAAAGGAGGTGGGTTTGTAGACTGGGGCATGGGTGGGTGTGGGCAGAACAGAGGAAGGTGTTGAGGGAGCCCAAGGCAGATGCTGGATGGGCAGGGGTAGCGGTGGTCAGTAACAGGGTTAGGATAAATTCTGGAAGAAGAGCAGACAGAATTCTGGTAGATTGGATGGAGAGTGGGGGTGAGGACAATGTAAATGAATTGAGGCCAATTCCTAGAGTTCTTTAGGGGATTGTAAGAACTGGACATTACAAATTATGTGATGTGCTTGTGTGTTAGTGAACAGTGGGTGTTGAGTAAAGTGTAATTGTTAGAGCACTCTCAACTTTTCTACTCTTCACCCCCTTACAAATCAGACCTCTTGTCTTGGGCCCTGCAGCTGGCCAGCCACATGGCCTCGGGCATACCCGTGCCTCTCTCTAGGGCTCATGCCCCTCCATGTGCCCGACTCAGCCCCATGTACAAAGTGGTGGTGGTGGTGTGCCATGGAGTTGGTTCTTCATAGTGACCCTGTATGGAAGCAGAAAGCCTCAACTCTCAGAGCTGGTGGATTTGAACTGCTGACTTTGCAGTTAGCAGCCCAACATGTAACCCACTAGTGCTTCGGATGCAGAGTGGGAAGTTTCCACAGCAGATGTAAAGTCAGGGGTGGCTTGCTCCAAAGGTCTGCAGAGGTGGAGATTGTGGGCTGAGTTCCAGCCCACCACCCTCAGCTCTGGCTGCCCCAGATGCCCAGTTTCCTAAGGAATGGGAGACTTTTGCCCTTCAGCTCTGCTGCAGAGAGGACCCTGAGCCTTGTATTTACGGGTGGAGGGAGAGGGGAGGAAGCAATCTCATGGCATCGCCTCCTAACCCTACCTGAGGAAGGCATTGTCATCCCATTTTGAGGATGAATCTGAGGCTTCAAATCTGAGGTTACATAGTGAAAAAAGGGCCTAGCTCACTCCAGAGCCAGTCCTGGCTGGGCAGGGAGTCACAGGAGGGCTAGTGAAGTCCCAGACCCTGTACTCCTTCCCCTCTGCCATGGCCCATAACTATTCCAGGCCAGAAGAGGCAAATCCTATGCCCAGCAGGTGGCGCTGTAGGGCCATTGGTCCTTGCTGGGCCCCTCAGTGCCCTCACCTGTTATTGGCTGGGCTGTAACCTGATGGCCCCTCCCCTGCAGACAGATACAGGCTATAGAGGCTAGAGCGTCTCCCTCTGCTGGAGTCTAGAGCGGCCCATGCAAAAGCCACCACTGTGGAGCAGCTGCCAGATGTGTGTGCAGGCTTAGGGTGGGATCAAGGAAGGGATCCTGTTACTATTTGGATTCCTCAATTCTAACAACAAACACCATCTTTTCGTTTACTCTCCTGTTTCTTTTAAATCACCTATTTTACTTCAATTTGGGCAAATCCCCATTACATGCAGAGTTGCTTCAAGTCGGCTGGTTTGGTTAAGTTTCCTGGGTGATTATGGAATAGCACTTAACTGCCCTACCCCTCACCCACAGCCTGGAACAGACTGGGGAAATTTGATCTGATGAGTTTCAGGGGAACACATCTGGGAGGAGTCCTGGGAAGTGGGAGAAGACTCCTCCTGTCTTACCCTGCCTGACCATTTTCCCATCTGAGTCTCAAACAGCCTCTTCACAGAGGATGAAACGGGCTCAGAGAAGGACAGACAGGGCTGAGACACCAGTAAATCAGTGACCAAGTCAGAGTCAGAAGGAGGTTGTCCGCCCAGGTACCACGAATGACAGAAGACCCGAGCCCCAGGTCACACGCTGGTCAGTGCCACAGACAGAGAGGGACCTCACTCAGTGCACTGCCTCCCAGCTGACAGTCTGTGCTCGCACAGAACCCTGGGCAGCCTCTGGACATTAGTCCTGGCCGGCCACAGCACAGCCTCCCCCCATCCCCCACACTGATGTCATGGCACCCAGACCTGGAGGCCCCTTTGGCTCCACCTCCTGGGAGAAGGCTCTGGAGTGAGGAGCAGAGGGCGGAGGGCGGGCAGTGCAGACTGGACAGTCGCCCTGGGCAGGAAAAAGAGAAACAGAAAGGCACAAGATAGTGAAAATCTGAGAAGTCCTGAGAACACCTCAGAGCAAGACAGAAGAGGGGACGTTTGTCTGCAGATTGGCCTGAGCCCCGTAAGCAGGGCACAGCAGCACTCAGCCTGGTGGGTAGCTGAGAGAGGGCAGCTGGGGCTGAGGTAAGGCTGGGCAGTGTCCAGGGCACTGGGGAGACTTGTTCAGACTGCTTCAGTAGAGGGTCTGGTGAATGGATCTGGAGCAGTTGTGAGCTTCCTCCTAGGCTTCCTGTTACCCTTGGGGTCTCAGTCATTGAATGAAACTGTCA